AAGGAAGGAAGGAAGGAAGGAAGGATGGATGGATGGATGGATGGATGGATGGATGGATGGATGGATGGATGGATGGATGGATGGATGGGAGCTCCAGACCAGCAATATCTGAAGGGCTAAAGTTGCATACCTTTAATCTAGGACATTGGTTCCCAGTCTTTGTTAAGCCAGGTGTGTTTAGACTGCAACTCCCAGAATCCCTAGCCAGCACAGTGGGATCGTGAAGACTTCTGGGAATTGTAGTCCAAGAATACGTGGGCTACCCAAAGTCAGGAACGACAAGAAATCAGAAGATGCCCAAGGCTGGGCAGGGCAGGGCAGATGAGAAGGAACTAGAGCAGACCATGAAATGTAAGGATGTGTCACTGGAGAAGGCTAAAACAATCCATGCTATTACACTCCAAACTACCGTGTACAGATGTGAATGCTGGCACAATGAAAGAAAGCTGAGAGGAAAAATAGACAGTTCATCCAAAATGTAGTTTAGGAGGAAAGCTTTATGGTCATGATAATCCACCAGAAAGAGAAATAAGTGGATTTTAGATTAAATCATGCCAGAACTCTTGCTAGATCATCATAGTTTGGATGTCTGATGGGAGGACAAGACTTACTAGAACAGACAATAATCCTAGGGAAAAGTGAAGTCAGTAGGAAAAAAGAAAAACTGGACATGAGATGGACTGACTGAGCAAAATAAGCCACAGGTAAAGATGGGAAGGCCTGGTTAGGGAGGTGAACTTGTAACTGTATGTTTGGTTTCTTTTTCCTAGCTTTTTCCACACATGATCTCCTCAGATATGTATGTCATGAGGCAGCATGTGTGCTGAATATATTGTCTAGTTTGACCCTGCAGCATCTGGCCTCAGCTAATGGAAAGCTGCCCTTGGACACACAGGTTATTCCCTGGTATGCAGCCACAGTCCTGTCCCTTATTTATTTATTCCCAACATTTGCAGGCCTACCTTATAACATAAAACATAAAAGCATTCTATAAGAGAACATTCTTATTGGCAGCTTGCAATAAACAAGAATAAAATTCTAAATTCAAAACAGAACTGAACCCCATACAAACAAAAATGAACAGAAAATGCAACAAAACTCAGAGCACCCCAGCTTATTTTTATTTATTTGAAAGCTCTTGCCCACTGACTTCTCAATAGATTTGCCATGAACTGTAGAACTATGATCCCTTTGAATGTATTTAATACATTTTGATTTGAAGCATGGAACCCTTTGGGCCATCCCAATATTTTTTTCAAAGATGATGGAGCTCTCGCATCAAGAGAGACCTTGTCCTACCTCACACTTTGACTCATCCTTATTTATGGTCACACCCTTTGCACGCAGCACACCTCCTTTATTAGCAGAAGGACTGATTTGTTTAATGAATCCGTCCTTCTGGATATATTATTTCCGAGGGAAACCTCTTGAAATTTACTTTGTACAGAGTTGCGCAATGCAAAGATCCAACTGTCTGAGAGCCACTACAGCTAGAGTGTTGGATCCAGAGATTTACATTGAAATCCCACACTCAGCCATGACATTCACAGGGTGCAACTGGGTCTATTACTCTCTCTACCTAATCCATCCCAAGTGATGATGTTGAGGTTAGAATGAAAAAGCAACGAACAATACACTTCTTTATATTTATCGTAAAAAAGGTGGGAGATAAATATAATTAATTATCTATGGATAAAAGTTTAACAAGCTTGACCAACATCCTGTGAAGTATTATTCTAGTTCCCTTTCCTGGGGAGAAAGAGAACTGGGTTGGGGGTCTCCTTTTATCCTGAGTTGTCAGGGTTATTTTAAAAAATTATTTGAATATATGAAATGGTTTTCAATGGCTCCATTTTCATCTAAGGCTTGTGATTAAAATACCTTCAAATGAATGATGTGCCCTTTGGAAACAATCCCCATGTCTTTCATGTCTTCTTCTTCCAGAAGAAGTAATCGCTTCCCTGTGATGTGATGCTCTTTAAACAAGGTTGCATATATGCTCATCTCACCAGATGTGTCACCTGCAGAAGAACACAAATGTTCATCATAAAGCTTTCAATAGCTAAAACGATCAACAGACCTTGATCGACAATATCCAAGAACTGCAGTTGCTGATCCTTGCTTCCCTAATGTTTAAATAATTATGCAAATCACTGCAGTTTCCTTAGTCCCACGCTTGCACACCTACTTGCATATACTGTATTTAGTCTTCCTTGTTCTAAACTGCTAACCTCTGCTTTGCTAACTCACTGATTCAACAATGTTCCATCAGCAAACCACTTTGTCTCTGCAGAATCAGAGACATTGATGGTGGATAGGATGGTTCACCACCGCCAAGGAAGAGCTCTGCTCTCTTTGGCATACTATCTAGGCTAAGAGATACCTCATCCTTGTCTTACCAATGCCTGGGACTCACCTCTGACCTTGCCTGTCCCTGAAACTCTTTAAAGCAGCAGTCCCCAACCTTTTGGGGACCGCGGACCAGCTGGGGGGAGTGAGCTCCATGCGTGGAGGGGCGAGGGCACCCCAGGCTTACGCGGTGGGTGTGTCATGCCAGCATGCATGCCCGCGAGCGCAACAGGCACCACACAGGCATGACACACCCACTGTGTGAGCATGACACCCCCCCATGAGTCTGACACGCCCCCTCGGGCACGACAGGCCCCGTGCGCAATCGTGACAGGTGTGCCAGTTCTGGCAAGCCCACAGGCCAACAATGGGACTGACAACCCCTGCTTTAAGAGACCATAATCCCCTGACACAGTTTACCAACAAGGTCAAAGAGGCCTTCCATTCCTTTTAGCTGGGAAAACAACTATTGTTTTGATATTGATGCCTTGTTATATAGTTGTTCAGAAGACATTCTGACCTTTTGCCCTTTAAGTATGGATTGGAATTTTTGTACATATCTTGCTTTGTTGTGTCTTGCTTTGAGCATATAGTTCACAAAAAGCAATATACAAATGGATTGACTGATACCTTTTTATACTGCAGTTCTTATTGCTAAGAACCCTACCCAGACAAATCTGAAACTGAAATATTTCCAGTTAAGGGATGATTCAACTAAAATTATTGACAGAGTAGCTGGATTGATTGTATCCTGAGTGAAAATTAAAAATAACTCCTTTTTCGTTTAAGATTATGTTTGTATTTTTATTACTTTTATTAATGTTATTAGCTTTTATGAGGATTTTTAAATATGTATTTAGCTTTGTATATTATGTGCTGTCAAGCTGAAACCAAATTATAGCGACCCTAATACAATTTTCAAGGTAAGTGAGATATTTAGGGAGTGCTTTTTACCAGTTCCACTCCCCTAGTGAGTTTCCATGGACCAGCAGGGATTAAAACCCAAGTCTCTTGAGCGCTGGTCCACCTCTCTATCTGGTACAGAACACTGGGCATCCACATCAGACTTAGTATAACAACTGCTGGATAGCTCAGTGGTTTAGGCATCTGGCTACAGAGCCAGAGGTTGGGAGTTCGATTCCCCCACTGTGCAGTTCTGCAGTTCTAAGATGATGATGATGATGATGATGAGCTTCTTGGTTACATAGCTTACAGTGTGGAATGATCTCCCATTTAGATTAGATGGGCTCCACCATCAATTAAATGCCAATTAGTTAGCACAGAAGTTTTCCGGTTATTATTAGCAGATTGTTAATATAGTCAGTTATCCCTGGATTTTAATAAATTGTTCTGAATTGATTTATTTCATTTATTGCATTGTTTTATTATAATTATGTGTAATAATTGATCTTTTGGTGTGTTTTTTTAGTTTCAAACCACTTTGAGGTTGCTTTTTTTAATAAATGAAAAGGAGCACTAAAATGTTCTTAAAAGAAGAATAAATATTCACCTCTTGTAAGCAAAACTTATGAAAAGCCTTACCTTTTTTAACAAGCTGTTGCATCCAGAAGTACTGTGAAGAAATGTCACAGATGTTATGCTCTGAGATTTAAAAATCTTTGTAAGTAACATCTAATCAGAATACTATAGAGATGTAAGGTGCAATCCTCTATCCTTAAACGAAGAGAGGTTGTGTAAAAGCAGGGCTACTTAAAACCATTTTCACTGAAGGAGAGATCAATAACTGTAAGCCTCAAAGCCCAGTCCAACTCCATTCCCGTCCAGGTGTCAGTTTAGAGGCAAAACAAACAAAAAAAAAAAAAAAAAAGAGGGGGAAAGAAAGGAGATTAACTAGTAACTCTGCCAGAGAGCGGTGACAGTTGCAAGGGGGTGGCATTTCCGTGCGCCTCCACTCTGAACGGCACTCTTCACCCCAGACTGGCTCCTCTGTAGAACTCTTTGCTGATCAGGGCATTCAATTCCTCATGAGTTGCCCAATGGCTACCATTCATGGTAGGTTACCTCCAACCCAGTCGGTTTGAGAACTGTGGCCTTCTTTTGCTTCTTAAAAAAATATAAGCACTTCACTAAGGCTGGCGCAAGAAGACAACAATTATAGTACCGATATTGGAATGGTAGGCTTGGAATAGGACCATGATTGAGCAGCTGGAAGGAGTTTCAGTGAAAAAATAGCTGGACGAAGCACATTGTCCCTTCACCTTTCATTCACGGTAGGTCTTGAGAATAAACAGCAGGGAGACACACAGCCCTTGTTTATTGTCTGCAGCCCCGGGGGATTGTGGGAGAGTGGACGGTGGTGCATGGTAAGCAGGAGACTAATTCTGATGGGAGAGGGAGGCTTTAAATATGCCTGATGGTAGCTGATGGGTGATGGATCCAGGAGACAGTCTTCCTATGGACTGATGGACTTCCACCCCAACACGACTTCTTCTTTGCTCATGTCAGAAGCACACCAAGGGTGCTTCCAGAGCAGATGGATCAACTGACAGGCCACAGTCATTACCCAAGAGATGCTTGGAGGGGTCCACAGTCCTCACATCCCAAGCCTCACTCCTTGGGAATCACTGAGATAACAGGGAGCAAATTCCACAACACCTTGGCCCCCCTGCCTTCTGGAAATGAGGCAAGAACCCCCCCCCCAAGCTGGGTGTGTATCCAAAAGCCTTCACTCCAAGATGCCTTAGGTGAGACCCCCACCACGGGGGACCCAGGCACACAGGCCCCATTCCTCCATCCTAAATTGGATTCAGCCCAACGCCCGTATGAAAAATATGACCAAAAGTAAATGGTAAGGGAACAGCTTAATAGTCCGAGAAATGGCGAGCAGGGCTTTCTCCCCATAGAGAGTGGGGAAATTCATCGTCCACACGGAGCCTGCTGCCAACAGAAGAGGTCTTACCTGACGGGATGGAAAATGACAGCCCTCCCCCCTCTGGTCCACTCTTGTGCCCCCCCCCGCCACCTATGCCCCCTCCATGGCTTAGCAAAGCTTTCTTCCCATGGGCGGCTGTTGGGGGAAGGGAAGCCTTGTGAGATCTGAGCGGCCCTGGGCTTCAGGAGATGATTCATGCCTCTGGCAGCCTTCATCTCACTGCTCCCACCTGCCTTTTGCATCGCGAGACAGCAGGCATTCTAGGTGGCTGGCTGGGTCTCTAGATGTTCTTGGGCTCCATCATCCTGTCAGCCAGCGGTCAGGGCAACGGGAGTCAGAGTGGCATTCTTGTTTCACCCCTAGCCTAAGCCCTTACAGCCACTCCTGTTCGCTGAGTTGAAATACAATACAAACAAAATCCCCTGATTTGATTTAAAAAAATACTTACCACATCTTCTTCAGTCCACGAACAGATATCAAAGGAAGGCAGCAGCTGTGTAAGAAATATGAATTTAAAAGTGCACAATTTCCTTTCCCTTTTCATTTTTTCACCCTTTTTCTCTCTCTGGTCTTTCGTTTTCTTTTAGTGGTTTGTTTTTGTTTAGTATGTTCTTTGCCAATTAATACAGCCAATCTGCCTTGAGGTACATACTGGAATGTGAGTGATGGAAAGACAAAAGTATCTTCTGATCTGAAATGAAACCACTTTCGAGTCAGCCAATCTGTTCCCATCTAATTTTATGTTCTGCTTACTCTTGCTGACTCATAGTCCTTGAGCACCCTTTAAATCCCTCACAACCCCCCCACACACAAAAAAAACCCTTTCAAATTTTTATTTTATTTTACTGCCAAATCAGAGTTTCACCACCCATTCCACCCCTTGTTTGTGAAGAAATCAAACTTGGAGCTAAACCAAATGATCAAGAATCAATTCTGAATTAAGACAGCAAATTCTAATTTGAACCTTTTAGGTTTTCTGAACTTCGGCTAGTTGCGATTCCCGTTTCAATATTTGTGAGCAATGCAAATTGTAATGAATGTTTAGCTGATTGCCTCTTTAAACATGCTGCAGTGACAAAGAATGCCATTTGAAAAGAAATGAGGAGTTAGATTTGATTTCCAGATCTGAAAAACACTGTACACTTTAGCAATACTGTAGATTGCATGACAACAGGAACATATTAGCATCGTTTGATGTTCTGAGCGTGAAGCCATAGACCATTGGAGTGGACTATTGCAGCAGTTGAAGGCTATCCCAGCGTACAGGAACTTTTCACTCATTTCTCTCTATATTGGGATGGGCATCTCTTGGGGGCTTGGGGAGGCAGGCACTGCTCCCTCCAACCCACTGTGAGCTGCAACCACCCACGATCCAAATCACACCACGTAAATTGTGCAGTGTGGTGACAGCAACAGAAGCCCTGATGTCGCCTTTAATAAGGCACTTCTGCTTTAAAACAAGCCACAAAAGGAGCATATGCCTTGTTTGGAAAACAGATTAGCACTCCTGGGAGGTTTTCAGGAAGGTAGACTGGTTGCCTAACAAGGCATGTGCGCTCCTCTTGTCTTGTTTTACAGCTGAAGAGCCTTATTAACAACAAAAATGAGACTCTCTCCACCCCCACCACCGGCTGTGTTGTATGACCAACCTTCAGCCTGCTTCAGCCTTACAGTGATGATAGCAGCAGTAACTCCGAGGGACCCAGGGAACAAGCAAAATGACTGAGGTAAGCATATTTCTCCTCCATGTTAATGGCAAAATGAGTCTCGGCATATCGATCTTTTTATAGATAATCCAGTGCTGCCCGTTCACAAAAGGAATGTATCAACAGGCATCCTTTGATTTGCAGAAGTACCAATTAATTAAATAAGGGGGAAAGATCCTTGTCGGTGGACAGAAGCCAAAATGGCAATGAGGATGGAGCATACTCCGTGGCAATGGGATGTGGCTGAATGCGGAACAGGGATTGGACCAAAAAAATGGAAAACCAAGAAAAAGGAAGAAGTGCCATTCTGAAAAAGAGCATGACTGGCAGACAAGCTGAACAGGAATGCCCTCCGCTACAACACTTTGTTGCCGTTCCTACCTCTATGTGGACTGAAAGGGAAGCAGGCATGCACTTGGGAAGCAAAATGGGGCCCGAATATCACAACTCAGCCCGCTTTTAGCTTCTGTGCAACTACGATTTCCAGGGAACAAAAAGATAAAAGGTATCTAAGGGTGCAATCAGAGGATAAGGAAGGATTGTGTCCGATCACACCAAACGGGGTCACTTTGCTGGGAGGGATCTCCCTGAAAGTGACTCTTTCATCCATGTGGGAACCACTCTAGCCTGGCCCCCCCAAAAAGAGTAGCCCTGCCACTGGACCACTGCGTCAAGAGTCGGGTTGGGTCACTATTGTCTGCAGGCCAGGAAATAGCTTGCACTGGACCGTGACACAAGAGGTCCACAATGCAAGTGCAATCTTCTCCTGATTGTACCCTAACGGTATTTATAGAAAATAAGCTCTACTGCAGAAAAGTGATACACGACTCTGAAGAGTTGCTTAAGCCTCTTGGGAACACCAGGTTTTCTGGAGAAGTATCTCTTCAAACTTTCTTGATGAAGCTTAAATTTCTACCTAACAACTACATCTTGCTTTCTGTTCCAGACTGGCTGTATTTTCGATTCATCCAGAACTCAGGGGTTGACTCCATTGGCAGATAATATGGGAAACCCTCCAGGATTGGAATCGTCAGGTTTACATTGTTTTCTATTGACTACATGACATAACAATGCCAGCCAGTCCAGAGCGTCCACCCCCCAACATCCATACTTTTTTGCTCTGCTGCTGGGGCGTCTCCTTTTTTTCTTTTTTGAATTGAATGCATTTGTGTCAGTTCAGATGGTGTGACCACTTGAGCCAATGCAGCAGGCAACCAAAAGCTGGCTCTCCCAGTTTTTTTTGTTCCAAGTAGGGAGAGAGAGGAAGCAGAGATGCACTGTAAATGTGTCAGTTCCCCTCAACCAAACATGCCTAATCTCAAAATGGTGGTGGTGGGTTTAGGCTTGGTGCCAATGCTAGTGCAACAGAGCAATCAGGAGGCACATGTACACACACACACATACACACACACACACACAGAGAGGAAATGGGCAGCTAGTCCTTGTCTACAGCTTGTTAAGATAACTGTGCCTCCTGTAAATCTGGACAGCTGCAGTAGCTTTGCCTTAACAAGGTGCTAATGACTACAGATTGGCAATTTCCTCCACTCTCTCTGCTGGCTCTTGTGTGATCTGCTAAAGCAAATTCACCTGGGGAAACCTGACTTCCTGGGTGCAGGTTCAGAGTGGATCACTTCTAATTTTTAGTGCTGTGTAGTTGCACCCTTAGGAAGGAATAGTAGGCTGCACAGCAGTAGCCTCATATTAACTGTTCTTTTTAAAACAAAGAAACGAATTAGTCCAATGTACAATCTACAAGACTACTAAATGCACGTGTCTATTGCTTAGTTTTCATTCACTGTCAAACTGTCTTCTCAGTGTGCTTTTCAAATTGTGTGGAAATAAATGTGTACCCCTGCAAATGTGTCTGAAAATATGGACAAATACATTTAGTCAGTGGAAAAAATGAGTTCAGATACTGTATACTGTAGATTTGAGAAAATATATACAAAATGCATGAAGAACCATGTGGGAAGAGGTGTCTTGCACTTCAGCACAAAACGACGACAAGAAAATATATCTGAGATACAGAGAACTGCAATGAATAGATGTTCAAATCTCTACCTTGTGCCAGTTGTGGACAAGTCAAAGGCGTGCTTTTCCCTTGGATATTTGTATCATGCCAGCCTCTATCTAGTTCTAGTTGCACAAACGTAGTTCTTTGTAAACAAGCAGTGAGCCTGAGATGAGATCTGCATCTCCTTCCATATAGAAAAACATGTAGCATGTTCTTGGACCAAAGGAGCATACTGATTTGGTTGCAAATGCTTGGAAACCTGCATCTACAGTACATGCCGATTTCATCTTCCCAGGTCTAATCTTCTACTTTAACTTAAGAAGCACCGTTCTGTGTCAACACCACCTCATGTATTTCTTCTGGTTTCACATTGCCTTTCTCAGTTTGTTTGGAAATTATTTTTTTTTTAAACCAGCCCACACCGGCCATTTAAAATAAGCCCTGGCCATGTAACTACACTCAAGATTTAAAATAGACAGAGACTTCTTGTAACAACCTGTTTATTCAAAATATAAATTCACTGAAAAGGGTGAGCACCTGCTCACATAGTGCCATGCTTTTCATCTATAGCAGCCATTCCCAACAGGGACCAGATAGCTCCAGGGGGCACATTTGAAGATGGGACACAGACTGGGAACAATTCTTCACACAAGACCTTACAAGGTTCGTGATGCGACTTATACAATCTTGATTTGGGCTGTATTTCTTTCATATTGTGTTTACAGTCATGGCTAAAAGAAAGATTGAGAAGAGTCAACTCATAACTCCTAGATGCTTGAAACAGCCGTTTGATATGGCAGCCTAACATATAAAGGAGAAGAGGCACCAAAAATAGTTAAAAGAAGTTTCTATCCGTCTCTCTCTTTTGAATGAGATAGCAGGGGAAGCCTGAGGGGTTTTTACCTCATTCCTGCCTGGTATATAGAGGCGGTACACTCCACTCCTTGCCAACTTAGCAGTTTGAAAGCATGTAAAAATGCAAGTAGATAAGTAGGTACCACCTCGGTGGGAAGGTAACGGCGTTCCGTGTCTAGTTGCACTGGTCGTGTGACCACGGAAGCTGTCTAAGGACAAACGCTGGCTCTACGGCTTGGACGCGGGGATGAGCACCACGTCCTAGAGTTGGACATGACTGGACTACTCCTTGCCAATTTAGCAGTTTGAAAGCATGTAAAAATGCAAGTAGATAAGTAGGTACCACCTCGGTGGGAAGGTAACGGCGTTCCGTGTCTAGTTGCACTGGTCGTGTGACCACGGAAGCTGTCTAAGGACAAACGCTGGCTCTACGGCTTGGACGCGGGGATGAGCACCACGTCCTAGAGTTGGACATGACTGGACTAAATGTCAAGGGGAACCTTTACCTTACACTCCTCACAGTTTCATTATCTTAATGAGATACACCTAGATGGGGGGGTGTAACAATTTTGAGAGGAAGAAGCATTTTTTCCCATTCCAGAGGTATCCATAGGAGGAAGTGACATGAGTTGTTTCTCTGCTTGAAATATTTAGATCTCCCTCATGGAATGCTGAAGGCTAGCTCTGTGGGCACGAACCATCAAGGCCATGTCAAGCTTATCTGTTCATCTCATGGTGATCACAGATTGCTCCTTTGCCTTGGCATTGATATTTCTGGTCCAAAGGGCAGCAAGAGAAGAGTTGGTTTGGAAGCAAGCGGTATGGAAGACACTGTAGATCACAAGCTGAATATGAGCGAACAGTGTGATGTTGCTGTAAAGAAAGCCAATGCTATTTTAGGCTGCGTTAACAGAA